TTAGCATCCCCACCCCAGTCCCAGGCAAGGGGAACACATTTTGGCAAGCCACTGATTTGCTCTATCCTTACCCCACAGCTACAGACGCACCCAGTTTGGCAGAACACTTGTTTTGGTAACATAATTAAGGAGTTGTTACCCTCCCAAGGTTAAACAATTAATCTCTACAAGTGAATGTCAGTTACATCTTGAACTATGATTCAGAGTCAGGAGGTGTTACCAAGCCTAGCACTGAGGCTGAGGCAAGAGAACTAATTCAAGACCAGTCTTAGACTGCGGCCCTATCATTCTCTAAGGCCCTCAAAGCCAAAAATCTTATTGTTTCTGATTGCCAAATACATTACTGTCTGCACACACCTTAAGTTCATCTGGATATACTGTAAACTGTGTTTTGCAAGTATTTGCTTCAAACCATCTTGCAGCCATAAAGAGTCTTTGTGGTCAACTTTTGCCTCAGCAACATTAGGTGCAGCTCCCTCCAGCTCACGTGTGATGCCATGGACTGGTGACCATTGGGCCTTTAAAGTTCTGTATGTAAGCTATGCCCCATCCTACACTGAGACAATAATCTAAAATAATGCTTTGGGTCCTGCAGATCAGATAACAACTTGTTCTGTTGTTAATTAGATAAAAGGAATAGAAAGTAAAATGATTGGCCCCAAGAGGAAGGTTTTCCTTAGAGGACACCATTGGAAGATGTCTGAGTTGTGGAAGAATTGTTGTTCTGGTTAAAGACAGCTTTGCAAATGGATTCTTCCTTCACTTTAGGGCCATGATCATCACATCACAATTCAGACATAAACCAAGAGCGTCATTTCTAACTCATCAGTCAACCTGGGCTGGAGTTACTTAATTGGTTAGACCCAGCAAATAGGGATGTCAAGGTCCTCTACTTTCTCAGCTTACTTCAAAGTGAAAAACAAATCCCTACATTTATTTATTTATTTATTTACTTATTTTTGTTTTCTGTGGCAGGGGTTCTCTGTATTGCTTTGGGGGGTGTCCTGGAACTCGCTCTGTAGACCAGGCTGGCCTTGAACAGAGATCTGCTTGCCTCTGCCTCTTGAGTGCTGGGATTAAAGGCGTGCACCACCAATGCCCAGCTCCCTACATTTTAAATTAAGAAAGAATCCCTGAGTCATTTGACTTGCTTCCATAACAAAGCCAACTGCAGAGCCAAGCATGGTGGCACACGCCTGTCCATCCCAGCACTCAGGAGGCTAATGCAGGAGCATTGAGGGTTCGAGGCTGGCCTGGGCAACTCATAAAGGCACTGCCACAAAATGAAACCAAACCTCAAAGCAAACTACATAAAAATGTTCTTCCAAAGCCCAAGAACTAATTCAAGTTCACCTCTTTTTGTTTGCCCTTTCTGCCTGGATAACTTGGCCCCTCAATGCAACCGCATTAAATTTTCAGTCAGTCCTCCTCCCAGCCAAGCTTCCTGTGCCCTTTTGCTGTTGTTTAACTTTACTAATCGGGTATTTCTGTATGAACCTGTGCCTTCCTAAGCTCGTCCCTGAGTAAAGAATAATGATTAATTGGGGATGAAAAACAAGTCCCAGAACAATTATGAAAGCATAATGAAGAGTGCGTCAGTACTGCAGCTCAGCCGAGGAAGATTCACAAGGAAGCCAGAAATCTTCCACTAGTTGCCCCAGCTTGCCTGGAGGTGTTCCTGCACTTGATCCTCTGTGTACTTCTGGGCAACAGGATTAAGCCCAAACTGTTTGTTTTGCTTTTGCATAACACTCGGGTCTTTCCTCCCTTACAGTTGATTGGGCGGGGCAAGCAGCAACTTTCCCAGTGGCATGCCTCTACCTTGCTTTTTCGCTGGGTTTTGCAGGGTCAGGTGAACTCCATCTTGTCCCTCCTTTAAGGGAATTGTCCGTCCTTTAAGGGAAGGTCGGAGGTGCTGAGTGCCCCAAGGACAGGCCTTCCCATTCACCTTTGATTGCTTTTCATTTCGTTCTTATCTTTTTTGCAGTGCCAGGGATTTGAAATAAGGGCTTCCTACATCGTGTGTGTTATTAAACTGATCCCACTGAGCTGCATCTCCAGCCCCAGTTGATTTTTTTTTTTTTTTTTCGAGACAGGCTTTTTCTGTGTAGCTTTGGAGCCTATCCTGGCACTCACTCTGGAGACCAGGCAGCCTTGAACTCACAAAGATCTGCCTGCTTCTGCCTCCCGAGTGCTGGGATTAAAGGCATGCGCCACCAACACCCGGCTCCCAGTTGAAAATTATTTAAACTGCATTTCATTATGCTCTCACTTTCCTCTCTGTTTTTTAAAAAAAATTTATTGTTTTTATTTTCATTTTGAAATAGGGTCTTATTAAGTTGCCCAGGCTGACCTTGAACTTGCCATCCTCTCTGCTTTAGTCTCTAAAGTTCTGGGTTATCAGGACTGTAGTAGGTTCCAAGTCTTCTGCTGTTTCAGATAAACAGTACTCTCTATATTTTGGAGATGGTGTTCTATATAGCTTGATAAATTAAATAAGTGTGTGTGTGTGTGTGTGTGTGTGTGTGTGTGTGCTCCTTGTTGTACTAGGTATTGAACCCAAGGCCTTTGTGAGTACTAAACAGATGCTTTACGACTGAGCTGCATACATACACCGTCAAAAAGAAGTCTTGAATAGTGTTCACCACATAAAGCAGAGAGAATGCCTTTAAGATGGCCCCAGGGAAAGATAGGCATGTCTAGCCTGATTAATTGGCTAGCTCAGGAGTAATTGCTTCCAAAGTGAGGACCAAGGGCATGGTTGCTAAGCCTGCAAGCATCAACTTTGTTCTTGACTATAGGAAAGGGCAGGTAGGCAAGACTGAGGCATCCCTTCTCAATAGCAAAAAGCTCACAGGGATAAGAAGGCCGGACCGAAGCCTGTTCAGAAGGGGAAGTAATAGGCAACTGGTATTCTCTAATAGGATAACCAGTTTTGTAAAACATTCTCCTATAAGGACTTTTAATCCAGGACTTGAGAATGGGGAGGGGGTGGGGCGGGGGGGGGGGGACGGACAAAGAAAGACTTGGTTCAAGAGCAGGCAAAAGAGGAACAATAGCTGTATTATTGAATATGTAAACAGCACCATTGGTGTGGTACTAATTCAAAAGCATTACAAGAATTCTTATTTTTGTCAGTATCTGTACTTCTTAATATAGTAATGTCATTAATGTTTATCCCCTTGGTCTGTGTAATTCTGAGCCTCCATGTTATTAGCCAGTTGGAAAGGGTAATGTAAACAGAGTCAGTTACCCTAATTAAATTATGTATCTGTATACTGAATGCTTTGTCAGGCTGCAACTATTTCAGTATTCGTTCTAAGCCACACAGCTTTGCCAAAATGAAGTTATGGATGCCAAAATTACCCTCTGTTGTTTAGACACAGCAGACATAATAACCTAATATTTAACAGGGTTATTTTTGGAAAAAGGATGAAGCCGGAGGCTGAACTGTCCTTTGCACTCAGGGCACCAAAGAAGACGCTGGAGGGAAAGGGAGCTGCGTTCTCCTTTGTTACTGACCTAAAGACCCAGGGGAGGGCTCCTCAGAACATTTGTTTGAGGCAGGTGCAGAAAAAGTTTAGTAAGGAGGAAGAAAAATGATATTTAAGCGGAAAAACAAAACATGTAAATAAGAGCGAGGAGTGACACTCCAGCTCAGGACAGGCGAGCCATTGGGCTGCAGTCTGGGTGTTTTGTGTCTCATGTTCCTACTTGTAGGAAGGGATAGGCAGGCTGTTCTAGTCTACCAGCAGAGACTTTGCAGAGAGAGCATGGACACTCTTTCTGCACAGGCTGGAACAAGAGCTGCTTTTCCACTTGGAGTCAATACACAGGGCAAAGACTCTAACCTTGTGAAGTTCTGACAAACTGTGAAGGAAAATGGAAAGGCAATCAGTGGCCAAGGAGATGCTTAAAACTGTATAGAAGATAGGTCATGGGTGTGGGTGAAAGCCAGCACTCGCCAAGTGGAGTCAGGAGAATCAGAAGTTCAAACCAAGTCTCTGCTACAGAGTGAGTTCCAGGCAAGTCTGGATTGCTTGATTGCCTGTTTTATTTTGTTTTGACTATAAAGTTATGGAAAAGTGGAAGAATGGAGATGGTTAAACGCCTCAAACGCTGTTGAGATGCAGATCGGAACGTCGTTTGTAGGCAGAATTCAGCTCCTTTCTGAGAAGCCTTCAGGTCTCATCCAAATTAGAGGGTGTAGCTCACTACCTGCTCATTAGACCCCCAACATTCTGACACACTAGAGCAGATGCCTGAGTAAGAGGAGAGGGGTTCATGTCAAAGTCACTCCCCCCACCTCTGCCGTGTCGGATCCCCTAGGACCGGAACTCCTCCCCGTGGGAGCTCTTGTTTTGGAAACTGGTGGGGTGGGGCCAGAAAACATTACAATGGAGCTGGGATGGAGGAGGTGTGCTTTTATTTCAGATTGTGTCATTTGAGCAGAGCAGCTGACAGAACAGAGGCTGTGTTAGATCCCCTGGGTTGTTAAGCTGGCACACCCCGGGAGAGTAGGCAACAGAGCAGGCGAGGGAAGCAGTGAAGAAGGGCAGGAAGCCGCACGCTTAGCCCGGCTCATCCCTTCAACTTTGGCTCTTGCTGTGGTGATTGTAACAAGAGGAGGAAGAGCTAGGAGAACCCCCCCCCCCGAGGGAAAAGAACGAAAGGCGAGGGGAGAAACTCAATTGAAAAAGGAGTAGCAGTGGGAGTGAAACACCCCGCAGATGCAAACGGGGAGGCCCAAGGAAGAGGAGGAAAAGGCTGGGCTTCAGCAACCTGCTGCTGGGATTTAGACAAAGGAGGTTTGAGAGAGGCGGGATCAGATTCTAATACCAGCTCGAGGAGAGAGCCAGCAGCTGGGCTCGGGAAGATGAAACGGCCGGAATTCACAGTGGCTGGAGCATGTACCACAGCGAAAGCTCCCAGGGAAAAGTAAGTCTGGGAAGGGATCTACAGAGCTTGACCGGCTCTGACATCTCGCCCCTCTTTAAGGCATGCCTCCATCCTTGCGTTACCCCTTCATAGTCTCTGTGACCACTGTCATCGTTTTTATTGTGCTCTACGTGTTAAGTTTTGGGGCAGATCAAAGCTACCAGAAACTGAACATCTCAGACTCGGTGATGCTGACTCAGGTATGCACATCCTTTATCAAAGGGAGAAGCCTTTTCCCGTGGAGAAACAAACTAATGATCCATGAGAAACCTTCTTGCACAGAATATGTGACCCAAAGCCACTATATCACAGCCCCTTTATCTCAGGAAGAGGTGGAATTTCCTTTGGCATATGTCATGGTCATCCATCACAATTTTGACACCTTTGCAAGGCTCTTCAGGGCTATCTTCATGCCTCAAAATATCTACTGTGTTCATGTGGACGAAAAGGCAACAGCCGAATTCAAAGGCGCAGTGGAGCAGTTAGTGAGCTGTTTCCCCAATGCCTTTATGGCCTCTAAGATGGAGCCCGTGGTCTACGGTGGGATCTCCCGGCTCCAAGCTGACCTGAACTGCATCAAGGATCTGTCCACCTCCGAGGTCCCCTGGAAATACGCCATCAACACCTGTGGGCAGGACTTCCCCCTGAAAACCAACAAGGAAATAGTTCAATACCTGAAAGGGCTTAAGGGGAAGAATCTCACTCCAGGGGTCCTGCCTCCAGCTCACGCAATTGGAAGGACCAAGTATGTCCACCGGGAACACCTGAGCAAAGAGCTTTCCTATGTGATCAGAACCACCGCCCTGAAGCCTCCACCTCCCCACAACCTCACCATTTACTTTGGCTCTGCCTACGTGGCTCTATCAAGAGAGTTTGTCAACTTTGTTCTCCATGACCCTCGGGCAGTTGATCTGCTCCATTGGTCCAAAGACACGTTCAGTCCTGATGAGCACTTCTGGGTGACGCTCAATAGGATTCCAGGTATGTGAGAGTCCATGTTACTTACAAAGGAATACCTGCAGGTCTCCTTATGCACAGGTGCCACATTTCAGGTTCAACCCATCGTGGATGGGAAATATTCATGAAAAAAACAAGGTGCCTGTGTTGAGTATACGTCAACTTTCTTGTTATGACTCCTAAAACAATGCAGCTTGATGATTATCACATGGCATTTCCACTGAGTTAGGGGTTATAAGTCATGCGGAGAACATATCACTCTGCAGGAGGATGTGTGTGTATAGGTCGTATGAAAATGTTACAGCATTTGACATAAAGGACTCATATCCACAAGCTTTCATCACCCAAACGGGGCCCTGGAACCAATTCCCCAGGGATGCGGAGGGGGTGGCTTTGTTTAAAAGACTTTTGAAGAATCTGCCTCTTTAAAAAAAAAAAAAGAAAGAAAGAAAGAAAAGAAAAGAATTAGAGATGGAGACCGCAGTGTAGAGCCCTCTCCTTAGTTCTTTATGAGTGCCCATGATGCTGTTTGTGGGATCATTCCCAAGCAATGCCTTCCCTAGTGTCACTGGAGGCTTACGTCTGTTGCAGTCATCTCTTATACTGTGTTTAGTTCATACTGGAAGTTTTCCTTCTCCACACACAGATTTATCAGACTTCGTCTTAGCCCAAGGTCTTTACCTGAGCCACCTTCCTGCCTATCCCCAGAATCACATATCTTCCTTCTCACCTACCAGACCACAGCTGTCCAAGGAGGGCTACTCTGGCCAACTGCCTGCTCCCTCCCCACCCACAGTCATGTGCCAGCACACTGCCCAGTTTTCCCTGCAGAGTCGATATGCAGAACAATCATTTATCCTGATCTGCATGAATTTGCTGCTGGTCTTTTCTGTGGGAGCTCCACGAAGTTGAGGTCATTTTCTGACTCAATGACCGCTAGGTTCTCAATGAGTAGATCACATAGTAAATGTTCAGTAAGTTTGTGTCAGATGAAAGGGTGTGAGCAGGCAGGTGATGAATGAACACACGGCAACACATGCGTGGGGCTTTACTATGTATGGGGCCGTAGCTGACTTCGGAAGATGCAGAATGCTGAGAGATATTTGGATTTGTGTAAATATCATTACACTGTGATATGTACACATACATACATACACACACACACACACACACAGAAAGAGAGAGAGAGAGAGAGAAAGAGAGAGAGAGAGAAACAGACAGACAGACAGACAGACAGACAGAAAGAGCCTGGGGCTGGAGAGATGCCTTAGCAGTTAAGAGTACACACTGCTCTTCCAGAGGACCAGAGTTGAGTTAATTCCTGGCACCCATGTACGGTGTCTCAGCAACCATCTGCTACTCCAGCCCCAGAGATCTGACTCTGGCCTCCACAGCCACCTGCACTCACATGCAAGTACTTGCACAGCAGACATACTCACATACAGGTAATTTAAGAAGTAAATTGTGTGTAAAAAAAAAAAAAAAAAAAAACAAAAAC